ATATGAAATATTCCTTTATTGGGTGAGAAAATCAGACCATGTCATAACTGCTTTAAGTCACACAGAATAGATATCATTCTCCGTAAGATTGAGGTCAACTTTGAATGGAGTATATTTTAAAGTAAAGGCTTTAAAACCAAGTTGGTACTAACATCGCTAATGTTTGTAACTTTGTAACGTAATCGGCCTTAAAATGCGGCCTTTAAGGCTGCAGACCCTGAATTGTGACACAGCCAGAGCTGCGGGGTTTGTGCTGCTGAGGAAAATGGAAATGAGTATTTAGCACTTTCAAAATAAAATGATTGATTGACAGGAACATTCAGCCCAGAGGACTCTGCTGGGGTAAAGCTGGAACCTCCACAGCATCTCCCTGCGCTACATTCAAAGCTCCCAGTGTGGCCGTGGCAGCTCATTTATCACGAGTGTAACTGACGTGTAACTGATGGCTGTGAGTCAGCTCCAATTGTTTCACTTGAACGCTTTCTTGGGCCGCTACGCACGCTTGTACTCGCAAGACAGCAGCCCATTGGTTCATTTCATTACTGACACATTGCTGACACTAGATTGTCCAATCAAATCTCTTAATGCAATTTAGTTATTCGTTATTTGAACGTTGACGTATGTATGATATTACTAAAGCTAATTTAAACAGAAGGAGAAAATTATAAATTTCACAGACAATACCAACTCTGAACAAAGAAAATATTTTCATGTCATACATTCATGTCTTTCCATTATAAAACTACAAGGGTGCTTTTGTTAGCCCTGCGGTTGGCTTGCCCACCGTGTACTATGACTCTCACTCTATGGCTGCTGTATGCAGAGTTAATTCCATCAAACGATTTACAAATGTGTGCAATGTGATCCAGAAACGTAAAGTTGCCTCTACAAATGTGTACAATGCGTGTGTTACATTTGACACGCTTCCATTTATAAACACGTGAAAGAGTCGCCTGAGACCGAATGATCACGTGACATGCCCACGTGACTTTACGTTTCCGTGACTTTAATAATGAATGTTCCCTACCTGGAGCTTATCTTCAATATCATGTTTTTCCTCTTTTTATTGACACTGTGTTTTGTTTTTTTCATTTTCTCATTTCAGATCAGTAAAGTACAAGGTGGGCCATTTATGGATACACTGTAATAAAATGGGAATGGTTGGTGATATTAAAGTCCTGTTTGTGGCACATTAGTATATGTGGCAAACTCCTCAAGATGGGTGGTGACCATGGTGGCCATTTAGAAGTCGGCCATCTTGGATACAACTTTTGTTTTTTCAATAGGAAGAGGGTCATGTGACACATCAAACTTATTGGTAATGTCACAAGAAAAACTATGGTGTGCTTGGTTCCAACGTAACTTTATTCTTTCATGAGTTATTTACAAGTTTGTCTTTGTTCACAGCTATTGACATGTCAAAGAGGTTAACACGTGAGGAGCGGATTGAAATTGTGTTTCGTATGCTTTGAAACAATGAGCTGCATCACAATTTCATTGTAATCTTAACTTCAAAACACTAATTTATGCTGCTGAATATCATCATATTTTGCTTTTTTAGATTCCAGAGTCTGAGGCAAGTTCTAAAATTCTGTACTTTGACATCTTTCATAGGATTTCATTTATATGTAAAAGGCCAAATTGTAAACAGTTTTAACAGATTGAACTACTTAAACCCGAATGCAAAATGTGAAGCCATCACGTATGGATATAGTTTTTTTTCTCATCACAATGCTTATCCAGTTTATCACAAGCCAGTATTCTTTGTGTTATTGTTCTTTTCAACGGATGCAGCCTTCCAAAAACTTATAATCATGGTAACAGAGCTGATCAGAGAAGTCGGGGACCTCCATGAGGAGATCAGAGCCTTCCGTTAATCCTGCAGCACTGAACCTGTTGATGCTGGGGTATTGCCTCTGGATTAGCCTTTTAACAACATAGATGAGATGAAGTGCAATGACCGGAGGCAAATAAAGTAATGGTCAATTCTTAAAGGTTATGGGAGTTTTGTAACCCAGAACTTTAGAAATTGTGAAATTTGGTTAAACTGCTTAAAAATGGCCTTCTTCTGTATGTTCTCCGATAAGCCAGGGCCAAGCCAGCTCTGATCAGCAAGAACCCTGTTATCATGGTTCCGAATAGGTAGATATCTTCAGCGTCCTCGATCGACAGTCCCGCCAGGCACACGACCCTCCATTTCTGCCACCCGTCCATCGTGTATCCGGCAGGGAAAGTCCCTGCAGGGCAGTCGGGCTCTCCCGAGCCAGACTTCACATTGAGAAAAGGGTGTCAATAGCATTCAGAGACCAGTTGATCAAATCCATAATTCTCTTTAGGTTTTAGAAACAGACTGTGAGAGAGTGTTCCAGGGAAAGTAATACAAAAAAACACGAGACTAGACAAGAACATAAGCAGGGAAGATAAGGGAGAGGAGAAAAAGTGCGTCCGCCTCCTCCGAGAGCCAAAGCATGTGGACCCCATCAGAGACGATGTTATGGCTTTCCACAGGGGTTCCCTGTTTCCACAGGTACACTCGTGACCTCAGATTTAAAAGATCACAACTTGATTCATGTTAAATTTAAGAATAATGTTTATTTACATTTTTATTCTGAACTTTTCTTCTGCTTCACTAGTTCATTGTTTGGGGCTGGAGCTGTGGTGAGAGACAGGGTCCATGTCAGGACACATCACTATAACAGGGCTCTAAACACAAGCTGCTGCTGTTTCAACCTCTGGATCACCAGGACACAGCTCATCTTCTCTCAGTCAGCCAGTCTATGGATACCCCCACCTGCAAGAGAAGAAAGAAGAGCAGAGGAGATAAATGAGTGTTTCCAGAGACTCTTCATCAGCTGTCAGTCAGTCCCATCAAGCTCTTGGTGGCGCTGTCATTTGGTGTTCGCTTCAGATACCTTCTGTTTTCATAGTATAATCTTCATGTGCTCAATCCGAAGCACACTCTCTGTGTACTCACTCCCTAATTTATAGCCGAAGTACTCACTCACTGTGTCTCTACTGTTTCGCTTGCTTAGTTTAGCTCGTAGCCAACTCGCTAGCAGCATGGCCTATTCACCTGTCCCTTCACCTGTCCTCCTCCACAAGGAGGTGGAACAGCTGTAATTTTTAAAAAGCTGTTAAAAAGCTCTTTAAGCTGTTAGAATTCTTTTGAGATGATCATGATAAAAATTGCAAGTGATCAGTCCATGGACAGTATCTTAATTTGTCCACCTGGGTCTGCTGCATCTTTTCTGGCAGACTTGCAAGAATTTTTTTAACTTCCACTAATAAACTGGGAAAGGTTAACATTGTTAGAGACTTCAACATTCATGCAGAAGACTCATCAAATAGTACCACTAAGAGGTTCCTGAGCATCATGGACTCTTTTAATTTTGTTCAGCATGTATCAGGCCCTCCTCACACTGCTGGGCACACTCTGGACTTGGTCTTCACTTATGGCATTTCCCTCGACCACTTGAATTTAAATGACGTTGTTTTTAGCAACCATAAGTCAGTCTCTTTTAATGTGTCTCTTCCCCAAGGTTTTATTAGGTGCAGGCGCTTTATTGATGGCTCTGTTATATCTAAATTTTCTTCCCTTTTTGATCCTAAGACTTCTTTTGACAATGCTGAGCACTATACTAACTCTTTTAATGAACACTGTCTTGCCATTCTCAATCAGGTTGCTCCTTTTAAAACTAGGCATTGCTCTATTAGTTCCCGCACACCCTGGTTAAATAATCAGTCTCGTGGTCTTCGACGCTCCTGACGAAAAGCAGAGCATCTCTGGAAGTCCACCGGCCTGGTTGTCTATCGTGAGCACTTCATAGATCTTTTTCACTTATATAACGAATCCATGAAATAGGCTAGATCCTCTTATTTCAATAATCTTATAAATCGTCATAAGAATAACTCAAGAATTCTGTTTGATGAGATGAGATGATGAGATAGCCTTTATTTGTCAGTTTTAGGTCTTTTGCCCACAACCGAGATGACAGACCTTGC